GGAATTAGGCAGCTGGTGTCAGCGAATGTGAATATCTGTGGGGTGAAAGTTGGTGAAATCTGCAAGGGTTTCACAGTGGCTGTGCTGGCCATTGGTTTCCTCAGTGGTGAATGCTGCTTGGTTTGTCTGCAAAGCAGTTCACTGGGAACCATGATCACTCCCACTACATGGCTGCTATTGGCAGTCCCTGCTTTTCTTCCTTGTTCCTAGCCATCTCCATATGTCTCAGCTTTGCCAGTCTCTATGCTTGGGTGAAACTGAAGCAGGACCTTCATGTGGTGCCACAAATGCTGGGGAAGCTGGTCACTCACCCCACTCTTCTTTTCCCTGCAAGGGGAACTCTTTCTAGCTGAGGAATTCCTTCTTGGTGCTGAGCATTGCCAGCTTGGGGGATAGGATGATCCAGGTAAAATGAAGCTGTCTTCCTTCCCTTTTGGGTAGTCATTCTCAAGTTTTTTGTTCCACTATGTTGTTGGTTTCTTAAGTAGACCCCAGAGCTCTCCCAGAGCCGTTTTTATTCATGAATAGTTACCTAATTGTTGATCTTTGTGTGGGAAGAGAGGCTGAGGTCTCTTACTCTGTTATTTTGGTGACATCTCATTGGTAAATTTTTATAGTATCTTTTATGATGTTCTAGCTTAGTAAACTTGAATTTAAAAAAAAAATCAAAGATTTAAAATGTTCGGGGAAACTGGTCTCATATCTTCAATCACAATTATTGCCAAATCAGTTAATAATAAAAATAATCCAACGTAATACAAATATTACTAAAAGATCTCATAATATACAAACAAAAGAAAAGGAAAACATATTATAAACATGCTCTATTATTTGTACCATTAAAGCAAAGAACAATGATGGTGAAATATGAAAAATACAAAACAAGTCATGATCCTCATATCATGATTCAATGAAACTAAGTCTCTATCCAAACATGGTAGAAGAAAAATACACAAACACCCTGACATGTTTTATTTTAAATTTATAACCATAAAGCTCAGATGGACGTTCAGCATTGCCTAGCAATCCTACTTTATTTCACTGACTGGTTCTCTCAAAGACCACTTCATACTTTCTTCTCAAACCCTAATACCCATTCTTCACCATCACTCTCAGCTGATAACTTTAGTCGTTTCGCTACACTAACAGAAGCAATAAGAAGAAAACTAGTTCATTTTTCTACTACCACATTTACGAACCTACCTACATCTGTACACTAATACTCTGCCTTTCCTCCAGTCATAACTGATGGAGAATAATCGGATCCTTTCTAAGGCCATGTCTTCATGAACTGTTCTGACATTCACTCTTTAACTTACTAAAATCAGGCTTTTCTCTTTATCAAACCAAGGAAATCACACTCATCAAAGTCACCAGAAACCTCCACAATAACAAATCTAATGGTCACTCTTCCATCTTCAAAGATCTTAACTCAACCTCTCAGAAGCAGCTGACACAGTTAATTCACAACCTCCTTCCTGTCTTCTCTGGCTTCTGAAACACCATACCATCAGTTTTCCTTCCAACTCATTGGCTGTACCTTCTCAATCTCATTTGTTGAATCCATTTTATTCTCTTCCAGACAATGCTCTAGGGCTTAGTATTCAGACTTTCCTCACTAATAATTTCTTAAGTCCCATGGCTTTAAATACATTGAAATGTTAACAACATCCAAATCTATGCGGGAGAACCAACGTCTACCCAGAGCTCCACAGGCAGTCACTCCACACCACCATGTAAATGTCTAACAGGCATTTCATACTTCATATATCCATAATAGTATTCTTGATCTCCCATCTCCTGCAAAATTGGTCCCCCTGCAAAGTTTTCTATTTTAATAAATGACACCAGCATTGCCTCAAATCCTAACACTTCTCACCAGTTTACCACCTAATCCAAGTTTCTATCTGAATTAATGAGATACCCTCTAAGAGGTCTCCCTGCTTCCAGTCTTGCCTCTCTACATTACCTTCTCAAAAGAGCTGCCAGAAAAACCTTTTCAAAACATAACCTAGCAGTTTCCAGTCTGGCATTTAAAGGGCTGAGAAGTTGCCACTCTGCCCCAACAACAAGCACAAAGCTGAACAAACTGAAAAATAAACAATTCTTCTTGGATCCATCAGGAAAGTGATTGCCCCAAAAATCAAGAGTGACAGGTAGGTACAGAAAATCACAATTTATCTGTGCAGAAACCAGTGGTTCTACAGGAACCAGTGCCAGGGTAGGAAAACCTAAACTGTAAGTGACAAATTGCTGGAGACTCACTGTGGACAAGTCTGAGAGTTAAAAACTCCAGGGGGACCCAATCATAGGCGGCCCCCCATAATTTTGTGAGTTTTATCTCTAGGAGCTCTACCAGGTCCTCACAGTAACGATCAGAAAAAAATCCACTCCTGCTTCCAGCAGGGGGAGGGAAAAATGAACCAATTTGAAATACACCAGAGCATTCTGTTCGTAACAAGGCCAGCCCTCAGAGCTTAACCTGCTGGGGTTTTATCAGAGCACAACCCACCTGAAGGAGGGCAACACCCAACTCCAGCCTCTTCTAGTGATCCTATTCCAACTAATGGTGGGGAGCGGACTGAGAAGTACAGGGGAAGTTCACAGTCCAAGGGCACAGGCTCACCAAGAACAGATGGATAACGCAAGCAGAGAGATGAAAATTCTAAGAAACAACCAAAAAGAAGTGCTGAAGATCAAAAACACAATAATAAAAATAAAGAATGCCTTTGATGGGTTTATGAGACTTGACATGGCTGAGGAAAGAATTTCTGAGTTTGAGGACATGACAATAGAAACTTCCACAACTGAAAAGCAGAGAGATCAAACACTAAAAAAAAACAGAACAGAATATATAAGAACTGTGGGACAACTATAAAGCATAAACCATCATGACACTGTCCTACTAAAAACCTTCAAATGGCTTCCCATCATTTAAAACATAAAGTTCTCACCTCACAGCCTCTAAGACCTTACATGATCTGACTCCTGCTAGGATATCTCCCATCTCAATTTCTACTTCTCTTTCCCTTTCTCCTTCTATTCCCAGTCACACATGTCATCTTCCTGGTCTTTTAATGTTCCTAAAGCTTATCTCTGCTTCAGATCCTTTGCATTTGCTGTTTCTTCTGCATGAATATTCTTCCTCCAGATATGGACCACTCCCTCACTGTGTTCAGAGACTGCTGAAACATCACCTCTACAGACAGGCCTTCCTTCAACACTCTACTGAAAACACCACCCTATCTCCTTCTATTTTGCTTTATTCCCTACAAAAATAGTTTCTATTTTGTAATATAGGCATGCGCCACATAACCACATTTCACTCAACAACGGACTGCATATACAACAGCAGTCTCATGAGGTTAGTACCATACAGCCTAGGTGTGTACCAGGCTATATACCATCTAGGTTTGTGTGAGTACACTCTATGATGTTCACACAATGGCGAAATTGCCTAATGACACATTTCTCAGAACATATCCCCGTCATTAAGCGACATATGACTGTATATTATTTATGTTATGTAACATTTTATATCACGTATTTCTTCATTTTCTGTCTCATCCCCTAGAAATACGAGCTCCTTGAGGGAAGGAACTTTGACCTGATCGCTTCTCTACATCCAGCACCTAGCATGTAAACTAGCACAAATTAGTTCAATAAATAATTACTGAATTAATAAATGCCTATTACAATTTTTAACAAGGTTTTTTACCTTGTGTATAAACTTGAATGGACTATGATAAGATTACTAAAACTATATTTAATTCAGACTTCCACATAAAGTGGTCTGTCCCATTTCTGAAAGGAAACTTTAATAAAAATATGTCCTTTCTGCACTGAATTTCCAGACGCTAGATTTCTGGATTTCCTCCAAAATAAAGAGACATAAAATGATCCTAATGGGCTAAATTTAAGATCCCATACAATTCTTGGAGATAGAAAGAACGACCATTTCTATTTAAAGCCAAGTTTGTTTTACACCCCTCAACACACACATACAAGCACAGATACCTTCGTACCTTTATTCTAGTTTTCATTAAGTTAATTTTTTCACCAGGAAATATATTCACAGTTAAAAAAAAAGTCTGAAAAAGTATCCAGTACAAAGTGTCCCTCCTATCCTTCAAATACCTAGTTCAAACTCGCACCACCAAAAAATAACCACTGGTCTCATAAAGCAGGGATGGCAAAATTTTTCTGTAAAGGGCTAGACAGTAAATATTTTCAGCTGTGTGAGCTATAAAGTCTCTGTCACAACTATTCAACTCGGCAGTTACACAGTGAAAACAGCCTTAGACAACGTGTAAACGAATGTGTGTAGTTGCGTTCCAATAAAACTTTACTTGCAAATATAGGCAATGAGCTGAATTTTTCAAGTGGGGTCAAACCCTGACACAGAGCTAAGTTTAAATATGTCTCTTTTATAAAAAATTTTAATGGTAGTGTTTGGAAGGGACTGCAACAAAGAATGCTATTTGAAAGAAAAATTCATCCTACTGCCCATAATGATGTAGTAATATACATTTTCATATAAATATAAGATTTTCATATAAATAGACAAGATTATTCCAAGATGCCTTCTCTATAATTCATAATATGTTACTCCAAATATACTCCTGGGGGCATAATTATGAAGAACTGGAGGAACATTAAAACAAAACAGACTGGTAACCTAACTAACACAGCAGCATGCTGTCAACACTAAACTCTGGCCCAAAACTTTCCCTTAAATGATACATCAAATGTATAATTAACACTTTCACAGAACACATTACAAAACTAAACCAGAGTCCACACTTAAAAACAAACTAAATCTCAATAGTACATTTACCAATCAAATCAATTCCAAAATGCATGTTCCTAATATGTTTTACAAAGGATTTAATAAAATAAATCAAGATTAGAAAGAACCAGCTCTCTCTGAAAAGGACATCATTGCTAGACTGAGTAATCAGCTTCTCAAAATTCAAAAGTATCCGAGGAATATATCTTACCTTAGATGCCATTCTCATAAAAAGTTTGTTTTGATTTTCTGCTGTTCCCATCTTTTCGTTCTTGACTAAATCATTTAGGCTTAGATTATCATCATCATGAAAGTATCTGACCCTTTCTTTTTCCTCATGGGTTAAAGCCTATGACAAAATGAATATTATTAATTTAGTGAAAACATGAGTTTCTGAAGTATTTTTAATGAATTACCTATAAATCTGATATTAAATGTAAAAAAGCCACTATGTATCACAATCTCTACTCTATCTGCTTCCATGTGGAAGAATTTCCATTAGAATAACACTGCCTACTTCTCCTGCCCCTTGACTTTCCTCGTCCCCAGGGATGGAAGGAAGCATGACATTATCTAATTTCTGAGTTTTGAGGAAAAGGAAGAATTGCTTCATCCATTCTTCTCTCCTCTCTGCTCTTCTCCTCTTTATAGTAAAAATTCCCCACCACTATGGAGGGAAGTCTGCAGTTATCCAGTGTTCAAGTAAGCATATCGAAAACAGAAGTGAAGTATTAGGCAAATGCACTTCAAACAGCTCTATCAGAAACAAAGCTGATATTTTGATTCTCATCTAAATCAATCCTGAGTTCCCTATCAGCTGGTTCAAGTAAGCATATCGAAAACAGAAGTGAAGTATTAGGCAAATGCACTTCAAACAGCTCTATCAGAAACAAAGCTGATATTCTGATTCTCATCTAAATCAATCCTGAGTTCCCCTATCAGTTGGTTCCATACTACGTGTGGAAAAGAAAAATGCTATTTATTTCCTCCCAAATCAAATCTCCCCAATACTGTTCTCATATTCTCTTATCCAAATAAAACCTGCTCTTTACTTCTTTGAGATCTTTGGAAACATGTTCCCAATTATTTTTACCCAACATTACTATTCCTATCTTCACTAGCTTAAATCTCATATTCTATGACTTCAACTACTCCATGCCTCCAGACCCTTAATTTCGGGCCCTCTTATCCTTTCATTATACTTAAAAAGCAAACCTCAATCCTGAATGAATGTGTCTGCCCTCTTTACTCCCACACCAAGTTGCTCGGTAGTAGACAACTCGAAGAGTCCTCGATGTCATCTGGCAATGCATCTATGGATCCCTAGCCAGCTCCGTCATTTCATATAATTCAAACCTTTACTACTCTCCTGTCACATCTCCCCTCCAAACCCCTAATTCCTCCCATTTCATTAGAAGAAGTATCTATCCCAATTCTGTTTGCTGAATGAATTATATACTATCTCTAGCAGCACAGGCAAATGACAAACATTTGACAGAAAAATTCTAAATGAACAAATCTTTTGTGGACCCAATTACCACTTGTATGATCTTTCAAATTTAAAACAAAATATCTAACTTGGGAAAACTGACTACATTGTTTTTGCCATCTCAAGAGCCTCAAGGTAGTGCTAAAAACTAATTGCTAGAGCTGGAAGATAGAAAAGAACATTAGGTTTTATAAAGGGTCACAGCAACTACATAATTAAGATATTACTGTATTTAGATACCCCATCACCAGGTCTCAAATTAGCTAACATAGATAACAGGTCTGGGAGACCAAGGTTTCCCTAAGAACTATGGTAAATACGCAAAAAGCAGCTAGAAACAATGTCAAAGAAATGTACACTAAAATGAAAATTGCCTTAAACATTCAATGTTCTGTTATTTGAAAATCGTAGTTGAACTGGATTTCATATTGTAAAAGGCAAAAGGATATAATTAGGAGTAAAAGTAATAACATATTTACTACTTTCTAATGTTTGCATTATAAAGCTACATTTCAGATAATATATTGAAGTAGTCTGATGCAAAGAAAGCTCCAAGGGGAAAAAAGACATTTTGAATTAATAAACAAAGACATATGTTAAACATACCATCTGTCTCTTCCTTCTTCCTCCTTTAGGTTCCAGAGGCTTTCCTGGTGTGTTCACAGGCCATACTCTTCCAGACTGATCTGTTCTGACAAGGATCACTTCTTGCTGGTCTTCATTCTATGCAAAGATTTAGAGATAACTTTTGAAATTATTGTGACAGTGTTGAATGGTTATATTTAATAACAAAAAAAAAGCGTAAAAAAGATTCTAGCTTTCACATAATATTATGGATTACCTTAAGTCTCCTGGACTTTCATTACCCACTATGATGTAAAATGATCATAATCTTTTCAGGGAAAAAATATCCAAAGCTTAGTTTATTATTTTTTTAAGAAAAGTAATCATAGAAGCAAACTTCAAAAAAAGTTTTCATCTGGACAATATTAAAAGATGACCAAGTACCAATATTACCACAGGCATTGTATGAGAATGGCCATCACTTATGCAGCAGATGTCATGTTTAATGGATCTCTCTTCAATTTAAAGATCCTACTAAAACTTGATTATAAGAAATAAAGCAACTAAATGACAAAACTTGTTAAATTAGCGACTATAATGACACTCCACACAACTTCTATTCTTTGCATTAAGAGCCCTCAAATGCTTTTCACTTACAACTCTTCAGAAGAAGAAGTTATATCCCACACACTTTCAATCCATAATGTTTTCCCTACAAACTTTTAGCCAAATACATGCCTGGTACGATAGAGAATAAGAGTAAACTTTATTCTATGATGAAAACAGAACGTTATTGGAAAGGTTCTAATAAAAAATCACATAAAGAATATTAGATTACTACTTTAGGGGCCAGCCCCGTGGCTTAGCGGTTAAGAGCGCACGCTCCGCTACTGGCGGCCTGGGTTCGGATCCCGGGTGCGCACTGACGCACAGCTTCTCCGGCCATGCTGAGGTGGCGTCCCACATACAGCAACTAGGAGGATGTGCAACTGTGACATACAACTATCTACTGGGGCTTTGGGGAAAAAAAGGAGGAGGATTGGCAATAGATGTTAGCCCAGGGCTGGTCTTCCTCAGCAAAAAACAGGAAGATTGGCGTGGATGTTAGCTCAGGGCTGATCTTCCTCACAAAAAAAAATAGTAAATAAATAAATAATTTAAAAAATATAAAAGATAACTATTTTATAAAAATCAATTTGAAATAAGACCAAGCAAATTATTCACATTTCAATTTTATTCTCAAATCAGAATCAATTATTAAAAATCAATTTCAATTCCATTTTATAGAGATTTTAGTTCCCCTGTTGAAATGGAAGAAAAATATATATACCAATTATTGATCTTACATTCACACATAATATTAAGTGAATAGTAAAGATATTATCACTACTTTTCTTCTTCAATTAAATAACTAACATTAATTAATGAAGTGTTACATTTTAAAGGGTATCTCTACTCTTTCTCTTAGTGGATAATAGAAATGGGCAACACGTTATAATCTAGCTTCTAAGTTTATTACACTGCTAAAGCTGATCTCCCTAAGGACTTTCAAATTACTAAATCTAATAAATACTTATCAACCATCGTCTTCCTTGATTTGAAAGCATTTGATTCTGTATCCTCAGCCTGAAACTCTTCTTATTCCAATTTTAAACACCCTACTCTTTTCTGGTTCTGTCTTACCTCTCTGACCCATTCATTCATTCATGCATTAAATAGTTTTCAAAGTGCCTACCTTATGTAGTAACTAAAAGAAATACAGTCCCTGCCTACAAGAAGCTTATAGCCTACAGCGAAATTTATTCTCTACATGAATTATCATTATAAAGAAAGTCAATTTCACTTCTCCATTTCGAGCCACCCTTCAAATGCTGATGATTCCAGGGTTCCTTGGTTTCCATCTTCCAGTCTAAAACCTAATTATCACTCGTACTGCCAAAACATTCATTATGTTGTACACAAATATAATTATGCCATTCTTTGCTAAAAAATCTGCAGAGACCCCATATCACCTAGGAGATGAATACCATTCTAAGCACGGCCCACAGACCAGTGCCAGTCTGAGAATTACCAGCCATGAAATATTTGTTACCAGTCTGTGACGAGTTAAATACAAAAATTGAGTGTTTATAAACTTTTATAGCAATCTTAAAGAGTACTTTTATGTTGGTTCAATCTAAATAAAAATTTAGACCTGTGTTTTATATTCTTATTTCATTTTTCTACCATTTTTATTGTGTTTTATGAAACTATTAGTCCATGATGGACTGGAAAACTGAAAAGAAAAAACAATCAGTCTGATTCTACACGACAGTCTGAGAAACACTCTACCAGATAGTGGAATCAAGGCCAAGCACCTTAACATAGTATGCAAGGCCTTAAAACTCACTTTTTTTCTAGCTCTTCATAATTTTTGTAAACTTACTGTAGATTTTACTTCCTAAACAATTTTAAGCATATTTATATTACTAGACCATAATTCTTTCAGTAACTATTTGTCTACTTACAATTATCTGCCTTTGCTACTTTTCTAGGCCAAAGACCAAGCTATACATTACTTGGTATCTATAGTATCTGGCACAGTGTCAAAAAACAGCGGGTCTCAATAAATGCCTGATAAATGGAATTAACAAGTTGGTGCCTCAGACATATTAACTATACTCTCAAAGCTGACCCACTGTCCCTTCTACTTTCCTCTTCTCCCTGCTCTTCTACTTTCTGTTCCTCACACATGCCAACACAAAGGACACTAAGTTTTCCCATTTTGGGTACCCAAGACAGAAATATTGAGAACACCAGAAATATTAAGTTCCATATTTGCTACCACATTAATACAGAATACGGAGCTTACTTAAGAATCTATATCAGGATGAACAAACTATGGCCCATAGGCCAAATCCAGCCTGCTGCCTGGCCAAGGAGCTAAGAATGGTTTTTACACTATTAAATGGCTGGGGGGAAATCAAAAGAAGAAGATCTTATGACAAATGAAAATTACATGCAATTATGATATGTTAGTGTCCATAACTAAAGTTGTATTGGAACACGGCCACACTCATTTATGTACTATCTCTGACTGCTTTTATGCTACGACAGCATGGAAGTTGTGTGGGTGAGTACTTGTCACACAGACTGGACAGCCCGCAAAGTCTAAAACATTACTATTTGGTCTCTAGAGAAAAAGTCTGCAAACTTTTGATCTATATTATTCTTCAGCTGACACAATGATTCTTTTTACTACCTTAGAACAAGCAAGATAAAAACTTGCAATTGTTTGATAGCATTACAAACAGATCCTCGTGGTAATAGCTAGGGTAAGAGAATGGGATCCAGTGCTCTTTTATTTTGTTGAAACATGCTTGACTTCCACTGTCGGCCATAACAGCTATAACAAAAACCAGATATAACCTGCCACTGTTCAAAAAACTAGATAATAGGGCAAAATTCATGAAACCACCATTTTCAGACAGTGGACGCCAGGCAGTAAAGGACTGTGATCCCTGAGAGAAGGGAAACAAGCAAGATGAGCCCTAGGATTGCCACAGCTTTCTACCAAGAGGCACTTTACAGGTTCAAGTGCAGGAAGGGGGAATCTAAACAGAGCTCAGCTTCCTTGTTGACTGAACTGGCATATATTTTAACAGCCTGTTGGAAGTAAGAGAAGATCTAGCGAAGAAAATAGAGCAAACAAACAAAAAAAATGAAGCAAATATTAATGACAATTAAGAACAAAATCTTCTACATAAAAGAAAGGTAGTCATAATATAATTTGGCTTAGCAGTGTCTATTTACAGAATCAAGAGATAACTTTGTTTAGAAATATAGAAGTAAAAGCCAGAGAAACAGCTAAGAACTAAAACTGGCTGCCTCCAGGATTGGGGTAAGGTCTGGAAAGGGCTCAAGACACTGTTATCCTTTGATATAGGCCTTTCAGCACTATTTGTACGTAACACATTGATTAAAAAGAAAAGAGAAGCAAAAAGCATACATTGCTTTGATCCAAAGCTAGTATTAAAAATTCTAAATGCTTGTTTGAAAGCTTTTTCTAGCATTTGGAAAATAAAGGAAAACTCTTCTACTAGATCAAATTTTCCCACCAGTTGGTATTCTGCAAGTTTGCCGTCATTGAAGGACATATAGCTTCTGTTTCCATTTTTATATTTTAAAATTTCAACAAACAAGCAGTTATCATTGTTCTTAATATTTTCATGAGTTTTGAACAATCTCTACTGTATCTTTAATTATGTCCACAGACAGCAGGTTGTTCACTACACACAAGTACCCAGCCAAGGCAGCAAGCAGACTGAACACCAAACTACATTATATTCACTGACATGTGTATCCTGGTTCAAGGCTATTTTTTAACTCGTACAAAGGTATTTACAGGACTGCATCTGCTCAAAAGAGGCACATTTTTCTAATCCCACAACGGCACCAGATGGACTCATAGCAGCCTTAGTTATGCCTCCTTTTTTCAATTCTTAACACTGTTTATTTGTGTCTTCTTTCTATTTTTTCCCCTTGATCAGCCTTCCTAGAGGCTTACCTATTTTATTAGTTTTTTGCAATGAATGAACTCTTGGTTTTTTTGATCATTTCTACTTATTTTTGGTTTTCTATTTCAGTAACTTCAGCTTTTATCTAGCCTTCATATCTCATTCCTACTCTTTGATACATTTTCTCTCACCTCTGCTGTGTTGGGTTATCGGCTAATGCCACAGGCAGTACAGCGTGCTTGTTTTGACTCTAGAGTCAGAATGCCCATGTTCCAATCCTGCCTCATTATACAACCTTGCAAGTTGTTTAATTACTTCATTTATAAAACAAACAAAATAATAAAGTGTTTTTCAGGATCAAATAAATTAATACATGTAAAGTATTTAGAACAATGCCTAGGTATAAAGTGATCCATAAGTTTTAGCTATAATTTTTAGTTACCTTTCATTTAACTAATTCTTTATTTATTTGACTGAGTCCTATCTAGGATTTATCCCATCTCATCTCCAAAATTCCTAGAATATTGTTTCTTCTTCATATCTACCTATTATTGTTTCACTTTTGCCTGGTTTTGTTTCTTAATATCATTTTCTTCTTATGAATATTACGCTGTCCTCATAACTGAAGCTACTAAACATATTCAATTTTAAAATCTTTTTTTT